TGCGAGGGAGGCAGCGGTTGGTGTCACCACGTTTTCTTCATCGTTTCAGGCATCTCATGGGGAAGTGATTGAAAGGAGAGGAGCACGCTCTGCCCCACCTTCCCGCCGGAGGGGAGGAACGCTGGGTACTGGGGTGGGTGGTTTAATAACACGTTCCTCTGGAGACAAGATGTTCAGAGGGGAGGTGTGCTTAAGGAAATATTTGCCTTTTTGGGTTTTACACATTCCTTTTGCTTGGTTTATTGGGGGTTTTCTTTATAAAAGTTAAAACAATGACCCACCTCTCTGCCTGCCTTTTAAATGGGGTTTTAGGGATCCTAACTCCTTGGTATGAGAGGAGTCTTCCAAACTGGAGTCAAGCACTTGGCCAAGGCAATGGTGTTGTCCCAGGGTGGGGTGTCAATGTGGGTGGCTTTGCTCAAGGACACTTTCACAAGGGACTTGCTCAAGGTCACAAGGGACTTGCTTAAGGTCATGGAGCAATTGGCTGATGTGGGGATGGAGCTATTCCCCCCACATTAACAGCAATTCTTCCTATTCCCCCAAAATAACACTGTGGCTATATAGCAGGTGCTGTCGATCACTGGTCAGCATATCCCCTAGAAAGTAGCTGTAATGTTTTGACAGATTAGGGTAATCTCACATGCACATCTTAATTGCCTCATTACAGAGGCACAAATAAACCCGGGGAAAAAGAAAACCCACAGATATTTATGGGCTGATGGATGTGGCAGGCAGGTCCACACACATGGCACCGTGGTGGGATGCAAAGGGAGAGCAGCCAGCCCACCCTGCTCCCACAGCCTGGAGCAGGGATTAGGAGAGGGGAGCAGGTAGTAAAGCAGCATCAAAGTATCTCTACCTTGAGGTGCCCGGTGCTCCAAGCAGGGGAGGAAGGCAGTTGGTGTTGGAAATAAATAGCGATGGGGAAAGCTGTTGAGAACCTTCTGCTGACTGCCTCTCCAGTGTGGGCAGCAGGTTGGGGTGGCCAGGGGTGCTCAGCGCCCTGAATCCAGGTCCAGCCACCTCTGGCATGCTTTGCTGATGGTCTCAAGCTTCAGGTGTAGAGCTGGAATCCCTCCTGGGAGTTTGTGCCTGAGGGATGCTGTGCTGGGTGTCAGGATCCAGCTGGGGAGGGGATGCTCAACCCCAAGCCCTGCCCCTGGGCTTGCACCAAAACCCTGCTCCATGCACAGGCTGGGTGAAGGGAAGAATTGGAGACACCATTGGGAATGTGTCTGGAAAAATGTCATTTTGACACCAGTAGTAGGCAGAGATCAGCTGGAGCCTCAGGCTCCTTCCTCCGCTGTGCTGAATGCAGAATGAGCATGGCCTGGGAGGAGGATGCAGACACTTTGTGCTCCCCGGCTTACCCTGTGGCACCCCCATGTCTTTCTGGAGACAGTGAATATAGGCACAACAAAAAGAACTGTAGACAGGATTCCCCACCTTCCTGTGGGGAAAACCATAGCATAGAGAAGGCCAAGCAATTTTAAGAGAAAATGCTCCAAGAATGTCTATATGAATATCAAAATATGGAAATATGAAATAAGAAAATATAGAAAATATATAAAAATATATTTATATATTGATATATAGATACAAGTTCATAAACATATAAAGATATACAAATATGTACATATAGATAGATAAGAGATTGTATAAGATTAGAAATATATAAATTATACACATAATAAATCAATGCTGCATGCCATAGTAATGGTGTTACACGCCAGTGTACAAGTAAAGGCCGAAACTGCCATCTCCCAGCTAACACTCAGGTTGTCCCCACAGATAAAGCATATGGGAAGAGGAAATCTCCAGTCCCAGCCAGAGTCCTGAACCAGGAGCCATGCATTGCACAAGCCTGGGCTCCTCTTGGCAGCCTTCATCTCCTCCATGGGCTTTGCAGGGCAGTGTCACTGAAGATGAGGAAGGAGATGGGAGAGGGAAGCAATGATGAGGAGCCCTCACAGGTCTCCTGCTCCTGGCTTTGAGCAATAGTGAGACCCCAGGGACAGGCTTCTGCCCCACTTCAGGGCTGGCACGTCTTTTCCAGGGCTCTTTCAAGCTGTGTCAGTCCCCCGTTTCCATTCATATAAATGAATATAGGCAATATTCGTTTATCTATATTCTATACATACAATCTCTATAGCCCATTGAGCATGCTTCTATTTTTTTACTTGTCACGATGCTAAATGAACATTTCACCTCCCTATATTTCAGTTTTATATTACTGGTTTTCAGAGGCTGTATTATACTGAATGAGGCTTGAAGTTAAAAGGAGACGTGAGAATAAAGCAACCAGAAGATAAAAATAAAAACCAGAAGGGTTTTTGAGCAGCAGAGTGCTCTGGATGAGCTCTGGGTCACCCAGGGAGTGTACATAACAGGCGGTTTATAATACCACTGCGTTCCCTGGCTCGTACCTGGGGACTTAAAAAAGGAATGATTTTCACCCAAAAAGGGGACAAAGCTTTTATAAATGGGGCTTTTCCTGGCAAGAAAGTAATGAATGAGTTTTAAGCATGCCCATAAATGCAGTGTTTCGAGACATCATCTGCAGAATACATTTATTTTAGGTGCCCTCCACCCTTCCCCCCCCCCCTCCCTGGTTTATTTTAACAATGCTGTAACTATTATAAAATGTGACTTTTCTGTTTAACTCCTTGGCGCCCGCTCACATGTGCGTGTGCATGCACTGGTGGCATTTGTCGCCATCGGATGCTATTTTTATGCCTGTTAATTCTTGAGGACCCCTCCCTTGGCTTGGGGAGGAGAAGGGGGGAGCCCAGAAGGAGGGAGAGAAAGGAGGAGGAGGAAGGAAAACGTCAACCTCAGCACACTTCCAGCCTCTGGCCATCGCCCTCCCTGGGGGCATGGGAACCATAAGGTCATTTCTCAGGCTCGCTGAGATTGGAGCTGTCAAACCACGCTGAGAGTTAAAAAAATGCAAATGCATGCAAATGAACGGGCTGTTTCTTCCTCCATTTAAATGACAAGAATCACCTTCAGTTTTGCCAGCACCCTGGCTTTATCAGCTTACCTAAGTGCTCCAATTAACAGAAGCACACCTGGAAAGGGCCAGGAGGAAAGGGAGTCCATTTCCACCAAAAGGAGCTGTACATCATTTCATTTTATAATCACATATAGCCCCTGATCTCCTAATTAATTTTTTTTTTCTTGCTTTCTTGCTGCTGAGTTAATAATCCACCATCAAGGAGGATGGAGTTTAATGTCCCGAAAAAAAACTCTGTAAGATTAATTGCAGGGTAGCCCAATATTCTGCTTTTCTGATCTTTTGCACTTAGGGTGATCTGGCAATAAAAGATCAAAATAGATTCAGAGGGAGACACGTTCCTTCATGCAAGGAGCTCCTTTAGCACTAATGCTCCTTCCAAACAAAAATAAATGAGTAGAAGATAAATACAGCAATAAAAATTTAATTGCTAATGCTTATTATTCAGGATACAAAGGCCTAAAAAGGAAGCTGTGTTTTCCTCCCTGGCTCAGGGGTTATTCATTATCTTACACTCCACTTGGAGAACACATTGGATTTACTTCCATTTATCTGTGATTTTCAAGGAAGATTTGATACAGAGCCGGTCGGGTTGGTGGAGGAGTGTAGCTAGTTAACATGGTTGAGCACAGCACACTGTAATGAATCAATTTGTTTCAGACAACAGACATAATTAGCGTGGAGCTAATGGGCACACCGTGGGATGCAGGGCTGAAGCATCATTCCTTGCCCACAGATACCAGTGGCTGGAGTGGAGGGGGGCTCTCCCCATCTCTGGGCACGGCAAGGTGCTGGAGAGGGGTCCCCAAGGTGGGGCTGCCCTCCAGCCCTCTTGCAAGTCTTCATGAGCTCGGTTTGTCCCCCATCCCACGTTGCTCCAGGCAGTCCATAACCATTCCATGGGGTGCGATCCATCTATGCTGTGCTGTCTTCCCAAGGCTTTTGGTTGCCAGCTCTCACGCAGCAGTGCTGGGGGAGATACCTCCAAGGTCTCAGCTGGAGGTTGACCCTACAGAGGGAGGAGGAGGCAGACAGCAGTCCTCTTCCCACGGGAATGTTTGCTGCAATCTGACCTCCCCAGCCTTCCCCAAGGGTGACTGGCTTGCTGGCCAAGGATTTCCCTGGATAACCTCCTTCCCTCCAAGCTCTTTCTAACCCCAAGGGCTGGAGGCAGGTGGTAGGGTGGGAGCCAGCCCCTTGCCATGGGGTAGACCAGGTCCCTACTGGTCCCACCAGGTGGTGGGAAAGAGGTTTGGAATCAGAAACGGAGAAGGGAAGGACACCCAGGACATGGCGATGGATCCCAGGAGAGATGTGGAGGTGGTGCAGGGTGGGATTGGGTACCTGCCTGATGGTCTCAGCCTTGCAAAAGGGGCTGGTGTGGGGCTGCAATTTTATTTACGTGAACCATGGGGTCTCTTGGAGATTAACCCCTTGGCTGTGAGCTGTCTGCATGAATACATGCTCTGTGTCCTGGGGGTTTCCAAAGGGTTAGTGTATTCAAAGTTATTCTGGCTGTTTGATGTATTCCGTGTGTGATGGGATTAATGTATTTGTTGCCTGCTGGAGGAAGTCACTCTCCTTCCCTGGGATTTCTCATATGGAAGGGCTGCTGGAGTCATGTGAAAGAGGGAACATCTTATAGATCAAAAAAAAAAAAGGCAAAAAAAAAAAAATCAGGTTTTCCTTCTGGGTGTGGGCTTTTTGCTTCCAAATTTCCCTTAGAAACTGGGTCTGCAGTAGCAGGGAAGGTGTCTGCCAGATGAACAGGGCATTTGATACCACGCTAACAAGTCAGAACAGGATTAGGGATGGAGCAAGCCCACAGGTGAAGACAGCAGACATTCATCTGCCCTGGCCAGGGCCCTGGTCCCTGGTTGTCTTTCTATGAGTGTTCACCTCTCTTGCCACCCAGCTCCTTTGGGAAGACATCTCTATGTGGGTTGTCTACCTGCTAAGGTAACATGTGATAGCTTCCACGCATGATGTAGCAGGAGGCCACAGAACTGGAGACCTGCTAGTCCATAAGGACCTCTGTCCTACTGCATCAAACAGCCATGACCAGCAATCCCTCCTGTTTGGGACATCTAGTTATACCAGTCCTCAAAACAATTGTATGGATGAGATGGGATCTCCCTGGCTCATCTTGTTTAAGTAGTGTAGGAGCTGGCACTTGGCACGGTGATGCAATACAGCATTGCCTTTTCCCCACATAGCTCCTGGCAGGACAAAGCCAACATGTGCCTGGAAAGATGTTGGGTGTGGGAGGATATGGAAGAAACGTGATGGGGAGGGAAGTCATTGCACAAGGTTCCTGGGGGAGGGATGTGAAAGAGGGAGCTTGTGGTGGTTATGAAAAGGTGAATAGGGTGGGAACTGAGAAGGATGGAGACAAAGGAAGAGATGAAGAAATGTGGAGGGAAGCAGACGTTAGATCACAGAGGACCTGGAAGGTGCTGAAGGTGACATGGAGATGCACTGGGGCAATGCAAGCAGAGGGTGATTACAGAGGTCTAAGTGAGGCAAGGGAGAGGAAGACACCAAAAGAAGGCAGGGTCATTTCAGCATTATTGACTGTGAATCCCCTGCTAATGCTGCACTGTCTGTGTTTTGTCTTAGGGCACTAAATGAGAATATGGCCAATGGCATTGAAGATCTTATTGGGATCCCATTCCCAAACCACAGCAGTGAAGTCTTATGTGGTTTAAATGAGCAGCGGCATGACGGTCTCCTCTGTGATGTTATCCTCATTGTCCAGGACCAGGAGTACCGGACACATCGATCCGTCCTTGCTGCCTGCAGCAAGTACTTCAAAAAACTCTTCACTACCGGCACTTTAACAGACCAGCCCTATGTTTACGAGATTGACTTTGTCAAGCCTGAAGCACTTTCTGCCATCCTCGAGTTTGCCTACACCTCAACCCTCACCATCACCACCTCAAATGTCAAGCACATCCTCAGCGCTGCCAAGATGCTGGAGATCCAGTGCATTATCAATGTATGCCTTGAAATCATGGAGCCTGACAGAGAGGCAGAAGAGGAAGATGACAAAGAAGATGAAGATGATGATGAAGATGAAGAAGAAGAGGAGGAGGAAGAGGAGGAGGAGGAGGAAGTGGAAAATTTCGTCAATCAGGAGAATCTAACTGATGTCCAAGAAGTAAGCTGTCACCAAAGCCCTTCTAAGTCTGATCTTACCGAAGAAGCATATACAGAAGCACCTAAAGACTGTCCAAATCACTACCCAGCCAACAACTCCTCTGGACACTTGGGTGTGATACGAGACTTCTCCATCGAGTCCTTGCTAAGGGAAAACTTGTACCCTAAGTCAAACATCCCAGAAAGGAGGCCAGCTCTCTCTCCTTTTGCCCCTAGCTTCTTCCCACATCTATGGAACGGCGATTTTAACTCCTTCTCCCAGCTAAAGGAGCCACAAGTAGACAACGGCCCCTTAGATCTGGTGATCAAGAAGAGGAAGATCAAGGAAGAGGAGGAGAAGGAAGACCTGCCTCCGCCTCCTTTCCCTAATGACTTCTTCAAGGACATATTTACCAACACCCCAGCAGCTCCCTTAGGGCACATTAAGGCCGAGACTGAGTATAGCGCTTATCTCAATTTCCTAAGCGCTACCCAGTTTGGAGGAGTTTTTCCACCATGGCCCCTGGAGGAAGAGAGGAAGATAAAGCCCAAGGCATCACAGCAATGTCCCATCTGTAACAAAGTCATCATGGGAGCCGGCAAGCTGCCCAGACACATGAGGACCCACACGGGAGAGAAGCCGTATATGTGCAATATCTGTGAAGTCCGCTTTACCAGGTATGTGTTGGGTACCTCTGCTGTGCATGGCCATGTGTGGGGAGGGCGGTGGTGGTGGTTGAGGGGGGCCACATCATGACCTGTGGGTGACTCCTAAGCTACACATATATTTTTCCCCAAAAAGCAGTAAAGAAGGCAGGGCATGATCTCTATCCCTTCTGAAAAACAAAAAGAGAGGAAGAGAGGGTGGAGGAAAGAAATGAACCTACTGATTTTGGTAGGTTGCGGATCACATCCACAACTCACTGGATCCATCCCCTCACTGGGCAAAAGCTTAAATAAGCAACAGGGTATTTTCAACCCCACCGTAGTTCACCACAGTTGGACCAGCAGGAGCTGGAAAACAGATGGTCAAACAGTAAAGGAGGTTTTGTCTCTCATGTGCTGGGAGATGCATTGAGCTGGGAGGGCCATCTAGCTGCGGGATGTAATTAGTTCGTGTTTGCGCATTTTGGCATCAGTGCAGACCACAACCCAGTTGCACATGTTTAGACATGGGAGGGTCTGGGCTTTCTGAGGCTAGGTCCTAATTATTATATGTTAATAGCGAGGTGGGGTCAGTCTCTTCTCCCACGTAACAAGCAATAGGACAAGGGGAAACAGCCTCAAGCTGCACCAGGGGAGGCTTAGCTGGATAGTAGGAAAAATGTCTTCACGGAAAGGATTGTCAAGCACTGGAACAGGCTGCCCAGGGCAGTGGTGGAGTCACCATCCCTAGAGGTGTTTAAAAGACATGTGGATGTGGCATTTGGGGACATGGGTTAGTGGTGGACTTGGCAGTGTTGGCTTCACGGTTGTGTTTGATGATGTTATGGGTATTTTCCAACTTAAATGATTCTATGATTCATCACCCTGAACACTGGCCACCCAAGAGCCTGGGACCTGGTCTCTCTCTCTGTGGTCAGTGGAAAGATATCAGTACCCTCAGAGTGGTAGATGAGGGAAGGAGATGAGCAAAGGTGCCATCCCTGACCCCAAAGACAGGGCTTAACTAAAGCAACTAACTTTTGGGTACCTAGGTTACATGAGACCAGCCCCAACGTGGGCTGCTCCAAGGCAGGCATGACCAGCCAGTCCACCCCTCCTACCAAATCCCAGCCTTTGCACTTCTCTTTACCCCAGCAAACCCCTCAATAGTAATAAATCAGAGCAGGCTACACAAATCTAATGCTACTGCTTGCAACCCTTCTCTGAAAAGCTGGGCAGATTTAATCGGTGAGCAGAGACAAATAGATTCCTGGACCTGCTCTTGCTGGGTATAATTAATATCTAATGAGTACAATCTTTACCATAATAATAAAGCTTTCTGACAAGACCACGGTATTTCAGCTCCTGGCTGCGTGTGAGAGAGAGAGCCCTATTAAGCTGGGGCGAGCAAACCAGAGGAAAATAATATGCACAGTAGGCAAAAGTGAGCTCCTGACAATGTCCGGACACCTGGGGTGCTCCCACATTCAGCCTGCCTTTTCTTCTCCATCCCTGTGATAATATTCAAGTGGAAGTTATGCAGATGATGAGGATTTGACCTGAAAATAAATTTCCATGCTCCTCTCCATTAACGCAGCAGACACCGTATTATAATGCAGGGAACATCATGCCTTGGGCTGGTGCATGCGACGTGAGCCAGCTCCCCCTGCTATGTGCAGGGGAAAGGCCGCTGCCGGGTGCTAATTCCCGCCTGCAGGAATTCAGATCTGGATCCTGCTGCATCCTGAGGTTAGCACTGGGTTGTCACCTCCAGATAGGCGGGCTCTTCTGGGAGGAGTGGGATGGGTTCAGCTCAGTGAGTGTGGCTGCATCCCAGGCTGGAGGGTTCACCTGGACAGCCCCATCCTGCAGCCCCATCGCTGCCCTGGGTGTGATGCTGCAGGTGCTAGTTGCTGACAAGGAAACAGCTTGATTTGACCCATCATCAACACCTTCTCTCTAATGGGGATAATAAATCTGAGCCCTCCCAGGGGGCATCCCAAAGTCCTTTACAAGGAAGGGCAGCATAATTGGCTTCATCTGAGGAAACTGAGTCACGGAGAGATGTTGGGACTGACTCACAGTCACTGATGAGGTTAGTAGGAGGGTTCAGGTGGGAATTCAGGTATCCTGACCCCTAATCCAGACAGGTTAAATCAGCATCTTGGAGGTTAAAAGTTCCACGTGGAGATGGTCTAGCATGGTTTAGCTAATTACTAACACAGGGCTAAATCAGACACCCTCTCATACATTTACCAGCTTCTAAATACAAAGCACAGGGGTAGGAACAGAATCCAAGAACAGAACCCCAAAGAAAACAGGGATTAACCCAGTGGTGTGGATGACGTTCTCCCAGATTCATTCACAAGACCAAAGCTGTTCATACGGGTCACCCTACACAAAGCTGGAGCCTGCAGGGTTTCTTTTTTTCATTTAACACCCTGAGTGAAGTGGAAATTTGAAAACATCAGTTTATTTTCAAATGCATTTTGGAAAACACGCAGCTGTTTGGTTGTGATTGGTTAGTTGAGGTTTTTAGCCATTTTCAGCATTACTCTAATGTGAGGGCTCTCCACTAGGGAAAAGTGTATTTAAGCAAAGTGGAGTGATTGAGATGCAGGAAGAGATTTCTGCCGGGATTTCCTGAGCGCTGCCACTCGCATTACGTGCTTTGCTCCTGAGGGGAATCTGATGCTTCCCGAAAGCATCAGACTGGCACCCGGAGCAGTGAGCAGTGCCTGCACCAGGGACATGCATGCCCACACGGCCACCCATGGTGGGGTCCCCGGGGAATGAGGGTGCAGGGAAGCCAAGGTTCCCAAATGGGATTTCTGACCTAGTCAGTCCTTTGCATTATTTCTGTGCTCCAGGAACTGTGGAGAAGCAAATAAACAAGTAGATAAAATACATTTTCCTGGGTGGGGAGTCCCCCAACCTCCCCCCATCAGATCCCTTCTCCTTCATGTCAGTGGGTCCTGCATCCCACGGCAAGGACCCCACATGCACCTGGATCTGGCACTCCCACTTCTCAGGGACATCTGATCGCAGGAAGCAGGACTTCATTTAATAGCTCATTAATTTTTTCCTTAAACAAAGGCTGCTCAGCTCCTACTCTGCTGGTTTGCCCTGCTGAAATGCTGGAGAAAACTGCAAATATTTCAGTTTTTCCACCAAGACAGCCCCAGAGTGCTCAAGGAGAAACTGTTCCAGCCAGAAAGGTTAACATTATTTGTTCCTATTATTTGTGTTGTGACAGCTCGCAGAGCCCTAATCGTTCTCCTAATGCAATTGCATTAAGGTTATTCACACACACGGAGCACGGTTCTCTTTCTCCCGTCTCACAAAGCCCACGTTCCCCATGCTGCATCCTCCCCTGGGTGCTTCACTGCAGCCGGAGCATCTCACACACACCCCCAGCCTCCGAGGTTCTCCAGTTAGAGCCATAAAACCTCTCTTCCATCCCACGGAGATGCTGTCGGGGCAGGGAGGATTGAGTTTCTTTCTCCCCATCTGCTGCCGGAGATGTGTAATAGCCTGAAAAAAAAAGCTTTGCCTGTATTTACATTATACAGTAATCCTGGTGCGCTGCTTGTTTATTAGGAAAAGCAATCCTGCTAGGTTAAACATTACATATATAGGTTTAAATTATATTATAGGTGGGGCTGGTAGCTCTGCTTTTCATTAACGTTTCCGAACATTTCGCATTGCAAACCCCTGCGTTCATCTGCTTACGACTTCGCTGTACATTATCCATTTGGGATGAAATTTTCCATGCAGCTTCGTGTGCTGTTGAGAACTGATTCCAGCCCTTTAGGAAAATGCGCCCTTGTTGAGTTTTTGGGATAACAGCATCTTTGAATATTTCGGAGTGGGAAGTCAGGATCTGGCTCTGGGCTTGGCATAGGGGGACAGAGATGCTTTTCTTCTGTCTCCTTAAAAATCTGTGTGAGTTGTAAACCTCATATGAGCTCGTTACAACCTCTGTAGAGGCAGGGAGCTGTACAGTGCTGCTGCTGCAGATGCCTGACCAGGCTGGGACTGGTTTCCTAAAGGCAATAAAGCATCATCTGATGAAGAAGTGACTGTCCTGATAGGGATACATCTCTGCATCCTTGATCCCGAGGGACTGGTGTGCAGGGATGCCCATACTGAGGCCGCACTCCTCACAGCATTGGAGTGCTGCTGGTCACATCACCGAGAACTGTATCAAGATACACAAAGGCAAGGTAGCAGAAATCAGTGCAGAAGCAGCACCTTGCAAGTTCTGTGATTTTTGTAGACTGCAGAAGGAAACATTCATTGGAAGGAAACCTGATGGGACTGCCACCTTAGGAAAATATTATTGGTTTTAGACGTTCCCCTTAAAAAAAAAACAAAACCACTATATTTGTAAATACGTGCCTTTGGGGTGGATTTTATGGTTGTATTTAAACACCTTCCCCAGAACGTGTGTGAGGCTGGATGTGTGCTGACCTTGGAGAGCGAAGCGGGGAAGGACAGCGGTGCCGGCCGCTGCCTGCACCTCTGCTGCCTCACCCTGTGCCATGCTCCCGGTGCAAATCAGAGCTCCGGAGACACCCAGCGGTCAGAGCAAGAATGAAAGGAGAGGAAAATCAGCTCCCGGAGGGAATTCTTCTGGACGGCATTGCCTTGCATTGCCAGGCTCTCGGAACTCAACTAATTTCCTAGTCTGCAGGCAGGAATGCAGCTTGTACTTATTTAGATATCACCATATGGTTTTGGGGGTTATTCCAGAAGGTTTTTTCCTCAAATTTAGGCTGTTTTGAACTCTCTGGGATGGGCTGCACACTCCTGAGATGGAGAGGGGGGTTTGTGTGATATTTAAGGTGCTGTCCCTCCGGGAAGGAGGAGATGGATGCAAACACCGATTTCCAAGAGTATCTATACACTGGGGTAAGCCCCGGGATGAGCTCCTCACCTTCCCATTGCCTTTCCCCCTCCTGATCCAAGGAGCAATCTCAACCACATCCCTGACCAAGCTCCTTCTCTTTTGCAGGCAGGACAAGCTCAAGATCCACATGCGGAAACACACTGGGGAGCGGCCATACCTGTGCATCCACTGCAACGCCAAGTTTGTGCACAACTATGACCTGAAGAACCACATGCGCATCCATACCGGCATCCGGCCCTACCAGTGCGAGTTCTGCTACAAGAGCTTCACCCGTTCCGACCACCTCCACCGCCACATTAAGCGCCAGAGCTGCCGCATCACGCGGCCCCGGAGAGGACGCAAGCCCGCAGCATGGAGGGCGGCCGGATTGCTCTTTGCTCCCGGGGGCCCACCGGTGGAGAAGAGCTTCGTGATGCCACCGACGCTGGAGGAGATGAGCGGCCACCTCGGCAGCACGGCCATGTGCCTTCCTGGCCCCAGCCCCAAGCACTTTCTGAGCGGGGCCAAGTCCCCCTTCAGCCTGCAGGAGCTGGAGAGCCAGTTTGAAGAAACCCAGATGAAGCTCTTCAGGCGAGCCCAGCTGGACATGGAGAGGAACGCGAGCATCTTCGCCTTCGCTTTGGGCCATAATGAAAACCTTGCTGCCCAACCCTTCTTCCCCCTCCCTGATCCATGGAGCACAGGTTTCAACGGCTTGGCAGGGCTCGGCCATGTGGCTCCCATCTCAGAGGCAAGCAAATAAACCCATGTCTGGTCCCACCATAGGTCTGCTTCCCTTCCCAACAGGATGACCAGCTTTCTCAGCATCCTTGTCTGCTGTTTCACGTCATCTGGTCCCCAAGAAGCTCTCTGTCCCCTCCCCACCGTGGCTTGCCATGGGGTTTGAGGCATGGGGCCTTCCCCAGGGCAAGTGGGTGAATAGGTGGGTCCTGTGCTCCACGGCCCCAGCACTTTAGACTCTACAAAGCACTTGGCTTTGGGGCTGTGGGGCACTTACTGCCCCATTCAACCACCCACCGCTCACAGCTCCATCTGGGAAGGACAGGCCAGGACTGCTGCTCTCTTCAGCCCTCCCAAAAATGTCACTTGCCTTAGTCCAGGGCATGGCCATCACCATGAGATGGCTCTTCTTGGGGGAGATGTCCCCCATTTTCCACCTGTAGGACCCACTTGACACTGACAAGCCGTCCAGACTTGGTTTTCATATGTTACATTCCTTGGCCCTTTTGGTCAAAAAGACTTTTTTTTCCTTTTTTTTCTTTTTCTTTTTTTTAATTATTTCCCATGTCTGGCAACAATATTCATTCTACAAGGGGTAAAGGGAAGGGTCGAGCAACCATGTTGGGAGGGGAAGAATCTTGGCCATTGCCTTTCTCAGTGGTATATCAGATTTGCAGGGCTGGCAGGAAAGCCCTGAGGTGGGACCCTAAAAACATAAAAAAAAAAAAAAGCTAAAAAAAAAAATAAATAAAAATTAAAAAAAAAAAAAAAAAGATAGAAAATCACCCAGAAGCAAAGCTGGGTGGAAAAGGGGATTTTTACTTATTTTGGTTCTTTGTCCATTTCAAAACTTCGGAAGGAGAACCAAAGCCTATTTTGAGTACTTTGACTGCAGTTGCTTGAAAAGGTGAAGGAAAACTTTCGGAAGGATCAGAAATTTTTTGATTCTGAGCTTTTATTAAAACCTTGCTTTGGGAAAATAAACCATGGGGGAATTTTGAAATGAAAACGTCATTTCAAACCAAAGAGTCAGAATTCACCGCCGCTGACCGTTCTGAAAGGTATAGGGTTTTGTCCTTAATTCCCCCTAATTCCTATACAGATTTTGATGATGAAATTCACAAAACACTGGAGTGTCCCTGAATCTGCAATGCCGATGGGAAAAAAATTGGATGTGCAAATATCCCTGCTGTTTGTCTCAAGGGATCTTTGTGGAAAAAAGTTCCACTAAAGGTGTCTTGCAGATGAGATTGAGATTGTCTACTTGCAAGAAGGAGAAGTACTATTTCTTCACCATTTGTTGGTTCAAAACATGAGGCGGTAACATACAATGGGGTGCTCCAAGCTGAAGCTCACCCATGGTGGCCAACAGGTCAGGAGTCCTCTCCAGCATCCCTGCAGACCCTTGCTTGGCCACCCCTACCTGATATTACTTCTGAGGATGAAAAAGTGGCTGCAATTGCCTCATCAGCCTCCTTCAGCTCTTAAAACCATGAGCTACTTTCGAGCATAAAGGCTTTTGATGGCCATCTGCCTCCAATTGCTCCTCTTAGATGTGGTGGGACCCTAGTTTCACCACTGGCTGAGACAGCTTGAGGTGGGACCCCAGTTTCACCACTGGCTGAGGCAGCTTGAGGTGGGTGCCCCAGGAAGCTGGTTTTACATGGAGCCAGCACCTGATAATGTAAATGTTACAAGTTAGGGATTTTTCTTTCTCTTTTTACTGTTACCTTTCACCATCAGCAGAATCAAAGGGGATGAAAGGACCATGGGTTCGTTAACTTCTTGGCCTGCCCATCAATGGTGTCGCTCTGAAGCGGTGGCTGGATGATGGTGTCCCCACCAGAGAATGGGAGGGGGCACAGGGGATCCACAGCCCACCATGAGGGTATGAAGGACTTCTGCTCTGAGACCATCCTTAGCAGGAACGATCCCAAGGAGCTGCCCAATGCTTGCTTCCTCCTCCAATCAGAAATCAGCAAAGACTCAGTCTGCAACAAGTCAATTGAGAGAGTTCAAAAAAAAAAAAAGAAGAAAACTTCTTAAAACTGCATCAAACCTTTTTTTTTTAATCCATACCAACTTCTCACACGAGCGACGTTTTGCAAATGGACGGTTACTTCAGGTGTTTTTTTGTCTACGATTTGGAGTCATTGTAAAGTATCCAAAGATGCTGAGTACTGTATAATCTATGAGGACTTGAAGCAAGGTGTTTTTTTCTGTCTCGATTTGTTTGTTGGGTTGGTTGGGTTGGTTTTTTTGTTTGTTTTCTCCTTCCTATTTGTCTAGCGGGGAAAAGCCTTTGCAATTTTTCTATTTATAACTATTTTTATGTGACTGCTTTATGTACAAAACAGTAGGGGAAAAAAAATCAAAACAAAAAAAGGAGAGAGGAACACACACACAAACAGATTTGCCTTACTTACTCACGGGACAATCACCCTTAACTTGGATTGATGCTAGAAAGTGGATGGAAAAAAAAGATACCATATCCTTTTATGTATTTATTAAACTACATTAATTGATGATCTTAAATTATTAGCAGGACTTGGTTCTGTTGCCTGTAGTGCAAAGCCACTGCAGATACAGAGCTGCCTTCCTGCTCGGGTCGGCATGGCCATCCCTATGGCCTCAGGTCTTTGGATGTTCCCTGGTCTCATAAATCTGGTGCTTTCCAAAGGAACTTTTTGGGAAGCCAAAATAAGAACACATTAAGTAACCATCCAGCTGGTAACAGCTCCAACCCAAGGGGCTGTTGGCATTGTGATGAGTGAGTTAAGGTTGATTTTCCCATGTTGTGCTGGGTTGGGTAGGGATGGATGGAGCCAGGTTCTGGCAGCCATCATGTTTTGGGGTGGAGAGGGAGAACTAGAGAGAACCCTAATTCTTCCCATTTTTGATGTTGTGTGGTGACTCCAGGCCACAGGTATCCATGTGGGAGCACAGCTAAGCAGGGAGGTGCCTTCCCAGGATTCTGCTTCCCTTCCCCATCCAGGATGGGCATGATGAGCACCAAGCCTGGGGATGGAAGCATGTGGGGCTCTTCCCCAGCTCACGATGCCGTGGTTTCTTGTTCTCACCATGGCTCCTGGGGCCAGCTGCAGAAGGTACTGATGAGCACTGGGCTGCATTAGCAGCAGCGTGAGCAGCAGCTCAGGGAGGGGATCCTGCCCCTCTGCTGCACTATGGAGAGACCCCCCCCTGCAGTCCTGATCCAGCTCTGGGGCAGCAGCACAAGAGGGACGTGGAGCTGTTGGAGCGAGGCCAGAGGAGGCCATGGAGATGCTGCGAGGGCTGGAGCAGCTCTGCTCTGGAGCCAGGCTGAGAGAGCTGGGCTGGGGCAGCCTGGAGAAGAGAAGGCTCCTGAAGGGGAGACCTGAGAGCAGCTCCAGTGCCTGAAGGGGCTGCAGGAAAGCTGGAGAGGGGCTTGGGACAAGGGATGGAGGGACAGGCCAAGGGGAATGGCTTTAACCTGCCAGAGGGGAGACTGAGATGAGCTCTGAGGCAGAAGCTCTTCCCTGTGAGGGTGCTGAGGCGCTGGCACAGGGTGCCCAGAGAAGCTGTGGCTGCCCCATCCCTGGCAGTGTTCAAGGCCAGGTTGGACACAGGGGCTTGGAGCAAGCTGCTCCAGTGGAAGGTGTCCCTGCCCGTGGCAGGGGTTTAGCACTGGATGGCCTTTAAAGGTCATTCCAACACAGACCGTTTCCTGATTCCATGATTCTGTGAACACAGCTGACACAAATGTGAGCCTTGTAATTCACGTTGCTGCTCCTTGTTAATTTTTGAAAGTGGTGCAAAACCTTGGAAAACAGGTTCCAGGTGGGAACACTGGGACTCATCCCATGTTGTTCAGCCTTCAAACTTCCAAACTTCACGTTTGGAAGTGAAGTAACAGACGCTGTGCACATTGAGACACCTGCATGTTGACACTTCAGTTCTGGGTGTCCTAACCTGCAATGTGATTTCCTCTGCAGCCATCCTGGCTCTGAGGGAGGCAGGTACTGCGGGAGGGTGATTCACCCCACCTACACTGGACCTCCCAAGGGTGGGATGAATCACCTTCCACGGCACTTGTCATCTCCTACCTACCAGCGTGGTTTGGAAGAACTAGCTTGGACTAAACTTTCGTTTCCCATAGATGCAGTGAGATAAGCTTAACCATGGGGAGGGATGTTCCCATCACTGCAGCTCCCTCCTCTCTGCTCAGCTGATGGGGCTGTACCTGGCAAAACCTTTCCGAGGAGGATGGGATGCTGGCACAGCCCAGTGATCATTCCCAGCTCAGTTGGCTTGATTTCTTCCCAGTCTGTTTTCACTGGGAATACAATGGGAAATAAGGGTCCAAGTCCATCCTCCCAACCTTGGGGGCCAGGGATTTAGGCTAATGGGGTCATACACCCCTCTTCAATCCCAGCAAAGCATCCCAAGCTTTCACAGCAACCACTTATTTTCCTCCCCTCATGCTCACAAGAAGCACTCTGCAGCATTAGGTGCTCAGGATGGGGTCTGGACCTGTGGGCACTGTCCAAAAATGTGGCTTGAAAAGATGGAAATACCAATCCCCCTCCCAGGGCAGACAGTCAGTGGCTGAGCATCTCATCTGCGCTCACAGCCTGCAGGACCACAGCGTATAAACAGTGTGTTTCTGAGCAGTAAACATATACAAAAGCAAAATTAAGTGGATTGCTTTTTAGCTATTTAAACTATTTTAATTCTTTTAAAATCTTTGGGTTTGTGACCCCATTTTATGCTCATCTTACGGTTTGCTTATAATGCAATAAAAAAAAAAAAGGAAAAAAAAGAAGAAAAAAAGAATATTGCAAGGGGAGGGTGAAAAATCTGGAAACTGCTCAGGGGAGCTGTGCGCTAATCAGACACATGGGAATCACAGAGCAAAACCAGCTTCAGTAAATGCTTGTTAGCAGCAACATATGGCTGCATTCCTGCTCCTGAGCAGCTGCTGTTATCTGCTGGATCATCCAGACCATGGTGGGGGAAACGGTGCTGGGGTGATGCTGTACACACACCATTTGCTTGCTCCTAGTGTTGCTGCACGAGTAGCACGGAGCTGGATGGGCAGCTCTTTGCCCCTGGCTCGAAACCCTTTGGTGAGTGGTGCAAGAGCATCTTCCTCTAGTTGTGTAGGAGAAATGGAACGTCCAAAAAGGTATTAAAACCAGGACAGAAAGTACCTGCACTTTGGGAAGCAAAAAGGCTCTTCTATTTGGCAGTTACCTGCAGAAAACAAGAAATGAGTAATTTCTTTAAATGGCCCCTAAAATGCTCTACAACTAATGTGTGGTCCTCTGCGGGACTCCCAGTGACACCAGTGGGGCTGTAGACACTGTCCCATCTTGGCCCGTAGCTCCACAGGACCTGCTGTGCCCCCAGTCCTGTGCATTTTCACGCCCATTTTGGAGGGGATTAGTGCTTTATTTACAGTACCCTGAAGCTGGAAGGTTGTGTGGTTGCAGAGGAAAGTTTTAACATCCAAGAGTAAATGAAGCAAAGACCCCAACCACCTCATTTGAAGAAAGTGTTGTGTTTTGCATCAAGTCTCCTATGGCATTTATTAGGGTCTGCCATTGCTTTTTTGGTACCTCTGACAGCCTGCACTTCCTTGCTCCACGTGTGACTTTCTTTCCAAGCCAAAAAGAAAGGGAAGAAAAGGGAAAACACCCTTCCTGTAGAAAACTGTCTCCCTGCATAGCTCAAGAGAAAACAGCCCCATCCCACCTCCCAGCCCCATCCCAATGTCAGGAGACAAAATACCTGTGGCTTGGAAATGCCTTCTTTTTGCCTTGTTTTCCTGTGTGAACTGATGTCTTACATGACTTGCACTAATCTCTGTAGGGCAGAATACTGTTAGGTTTCTTTGTTTCTGTCTCTTGTGTGGTTGCGACTCCTCTTGGCTAAGAAAACAGCAGTCCTGTAGATGTACCTGCTGCACATTTTACACCCCTAGAGAAAATAAACTGTTATCTGAAGCAGTGAGTGGCTCGTGTATCTTTAATGCTGCTGTGGGGCTGGGGGCTGGAGAAGTTATGGCATCAAGTGGTGGCAGTGGTCCTCTAGGGTGACCCCTTCATGTGGCATCTGGTCTGTCCCCATAAGGGTGATTAGGCTCCGGAGCAACCCCTGGTGATGTCTGATCCCGCCCAGCATGAAATCTGTACTCAGAAAAAGAAACAGTAAATGAATAAACAAAACAAAACCCACAAAATATTCTATTATTCTAAAAAAAACATAAGGAAATTTGGGACTTTTCTACCCGTTTCTACTCATCTCCTTTCTGCAGCTCCCGGCGGAGTACTCAAACTTGCACTGCCCTCGTGTGGTGGCCCGGTGGCAGCTCTGCCACCAGAACGATGCTGGGGACATCGGCGGTGCAGTAACTGCATCTGCAGGTGTCTGCGGCTCTCGGTTGCATCAGTGTGGGCACGATCTTCCACTGCCTCCCCTCACACCCTGCAGCATCCACCTGCCAAGCACAGGAAATACAAACCTGAGCCACACCGAGGTCACAGAATACAGACTGGTTTGTGCTGGAAGGGACCTTAAAGCTCCTCCAGCTCCAACCCCTGCCACGGGCAGGGACACCTTCCACTGGAGCAGCTTGCTCCAAGCCCCTGTGTCCAGCCTGGCCTTGAACACTGCCAGGGATGGGGCAGCCACAGCTCCTCTGGGCACCCTGTGCCAGCGCCTCAGCACCCTCACAGGGAAGAGCTTCTGCCTAAGAGCTCATCTCAGTCTCCCCTCTGGCAGGTTAAAGCCATTCCCCTTGGCCTGTCCCTCCATCCCTTGTCCCAAGCCCCTCTCCAGGTTTCCTGCAGCCCCTTCAGGCACTGGAGCTGCTCTCAGGTCTCCCAGAGCCTTCTCTAAGATGGAGTATAACAGCTGGACTCTATGATACTAAGGGTCTTTTCTAACAGAAATGATTCTGTTATTCCAATAGTTTCCTACCCCCATTAACCATAACCAAACAATTAGGCCATGAGGTTGTGAACATCCCACACACAACCATCAGTGACCTCATGGCACTAATTTTGAGACAGTTGCTCCCTGCAGCCCAAGGGTGAGCTACCACAGGACTTTCCAATGCGCAACAAGGCTCTAGCTGATATTTCCCTCTTCCCCTCATGGTCCAACTAATAATATTACCCAGTTCATGTGAGTATAGAGGACACATACAAATCTTATGCAATTGTATGAAGCTAGCTTCTTTATTAACTGAGGCAAAAACCAACCCATGAAAGCAAATACAAAGGAAGAAGCCAAACAGCAGTGCCATCACACAACCCCCCTTTATAATTGGAAGTTTTATTTTATTTCTTTCTTCCCGTGGAGATGACACTGACCGAGATGTCACAAATCTGATCGGGCTTCCTATTAGCTCATGCAGCGCCTCGAGCCTCAGGGGTCATCTTAAATTCAGGCAGCCAATTTGCAGGCAGGCAATGCAAAGCACACAAGGAGCTGGCTTGCTCAGACCAGGCATGGTCTGAGGCTTTAAGGACAGACCCTGGCTTTCAGCTAAAACCATCCTCTGCTCTTGGGTAGCCTCCAGCAAATCCTTACACCAATGGCTGTAAACCTGCCTGCCTTTCAAGTGTAGCTGTTAACTCAGCTTCCATAGTAAACAGGACAGGGTTTTCTCAGTGGGACCAACTTTTGCCACATTAGCTGGAGTTTTGCATCATCTGGGAAATACTTAAGGCTTTGCCCTTGAGTCCTCAGGACCTGGGTTCTCATTTATGCAGCTTTCAGGAGTTATTTCTGGCCCTCGCTGTTGCCAGGAGGTTTTGATGATAATCACTAAAAAATCAGTTCGAAATACAAAGTTCTCCCAGGCACTTTGCCACCTATCAGTACTCACAACCATTCTGAGATGTGGTCCTTGGACCTGAAGTGGAGGTGAGCGGAGATTTGCTCTGAGTGTTGCTGCAGGGATGAACAGCTGGACTGTGTCACTCTGAAACTGGAAGGGGAAAGTGAAGAGCAGGCAGAAGCTCCACAGGACGTGGAAGTTCATCTCCCATAGGGAAAAGGCAGAGCTGCTGGAGAAGCAGCCACGTATAGATGTGCTCCTCATGCTTCTGCCTGGCATCCTCCTCTTTTGTGTTTGATAGCTCAGCCCATGACAAAGATCATTGTAGCTCCAAGCACTTGGAGCAGAAATAGCCAAGTTTCAATGACCCTGATGTACGTATAAATATATAAGCACACCCACATACGTATATTTGTTTGGCTGTCATCCTCGCAGATAGAATTCAATCTTTTTGTGGGGAAACTGAGGCACGGGGAGGCACAGAGACTTATTCATGTCTCTCTTGCAGCACACAGGTATCTCAGTGTGTGCTGCCAGCCTACCCTTTATAAAAGGCCCTTGCATGACTGCAAATCACCACTTGGGAGTGGTGAACCTTGGCAATGGCTTCATCAGGCTGTTTAATTTGACACTAGGAAGGAGCATCCCTATGCAACCCTCTCTCACTGTCTTCAGCATCCCCATCTGATACCAGCCAGTCAGTGAGAAAGAGGGAAAGAGAAAAGTAACCAGGAGAGGACTTTTTTGGCAGGGACCATGCCAAGATGAGCCAGTGAGAGCAGCAGGAGCCATCAGAGACCCACTTGGCTGTGGCTGGTTCAGGGCACTGTACTCTGCATTAGCAGACGTCTGCGGTAAAGTTTTGTCTCCAAGGAAGGCTGCCACCCTCCACCCCAAAATAACAGAGAGAGCAACACCAGAGATACACCAGAGCAGCTCTGCTATGAAGACACCAGGGCGAGTGGGAGTGCTGATCAGCTGAAGGATAGGAAGGTTCTTCAGAGGGATGTGGACAGGCTGGATCCATGGGCTGTGGACAATGGGATGAGGTTCAACAAGGCAAAATGTCCGGCATCTGGGACACAACAACTCCCTGTAACGTTCCAGGCTTGGGGAAGAGCGGCTGGAAACTGCTCATGGGAAAGGCCCTGGGGGTGCTGATTGATGGAGCTGAACATGAGCAGCTTGTGCCCAGGCGGCCAGGAAGCCACCAGCATCCTGGCCTGGATCAGCACCAGTGCAGAGGCAGGGCCAGGGCAGGGATTGTGCCCCTGCACTGAGCACTGGTGAGGCTGCACCTCGAATCCTGTGCTCAGCTCTGGGCCCCTCACTACAGGAAAGACCTTGAGGTGCTGGAGAGGGGCCAGAGAAGGGTAACGGAGCTGGAGCAGGGCCTGGAGCACAAGTGTGATGGGGAACGGCTGAGGGAGCTGGGGGGTTCAGTCTGGAGAAGAGAAGGCTCAGGGGGGACCTGATGGCTCCCTACAACTGCCTGAGAGGAGGATGGAGCCAGGAGGGGCTGGGCTCTGCTCCCAAGGAACAAGGGATGGGACAAGAGGAAACGGCCTCAAGCTGCACAAGGGCAGGTTTAGGTGGAGCTGAGGAACAATTCCTTCCCCAGAGGGTGCTCAGGCATTGGAACAGGCTGCCCAGGGCAGGGCTGCAGTCACCGTCCCTGCAAGTGTTCACACACCGTGGAGACGAGGCCTCAGTGCCATGGGTTAGGGGTGGCCTTGGCAGTGCTGGGCAATGGTTGGACTGGATGAGTTTAAGGGTCTTTTCCAAGCTGGTTGATTCTATGATCCAGTGGAATGT